TGTCAGCCCTGGCTGAAAACAGCATTCCAATAACTGGGGAATCAATTTGAGAGCCCGAGGAAAAGTTTTCCTTGTTCACTTTGGGACTAGGGGGAGTCATCCCATTCTGCTTCACAGCCATCCCTTTGGGGGTATTCTTCACATGATTAACACCAGCTTCTGCCCCACCACTTTCTTCTTGTTAGAAATGTCCTCCCCAAAAACTCTATTATTCCCAGGATCCTGCTTGTGCTATGGTTGTTGATTCCTCTTTCTTCTTTGAACCACCATCCATGGTCCAACACCTTGTACTCCAGGGATTTCCATGGGGCTTACAGCAGCCTCCTCAGGTTTATTCACATGAGTTGTCTTGATAAAGTCCGGACATGCATCAGCATTGTGACCATACCTTCCACACTTGAGACATATCAAGTAAAGACCCTCATATTCTACTCTTTTCCTGCAACCATCTAAGACATATTCTCCTCTTAGCGGCATAGCTAAATCAATTTCTATGCACACACGAGCAAACCGTGCCCTATCCCCAGTAGAAGTAGTCTTATCCACTTTCAGGACCTTACCAATTACTGATCCTAGATGATTTAAAAATGAAAACTCACAGTACTCCTGGGGGATACCTGGAAGGCGAACCCATGCAGCTACCTCGTGAATATTGGCTTTATCAGGATCAAAACATGGCTCCCACTTCCTAGTTGCAAGGTAATGACCGAGTATGATCCATGGTCCTCCCGTTATCGCTAAATTCATGTCCTCCAAGGTACTGAACCTGACCGAGAAGAAGTTGTTGCCCAGATCAGCAACGGTTATACTTCCAGCCTTCGCCTACAGCACCTCCAGCCTTTTCTTCATAAAGCCAACGCCAATCTTCCTCCCCAGCAGCTTCACAATCAAGGCGTTCTTCCATCGCTGACGCATTCTGATTCTTGCGTCCCTGTTGCTCTTAATTTCAACCGAACCATCTTCCCTCACAATTGTCTAGAAACCCCACTCAGATATCACTCCCAAATTAGGGTCCAGATCTTCCAAATCAGGTTCTTCTTCTTCAAACAGCCATGGAGCGTTGTCGCCGGACACACCATTCTCCACACCAATCACCTCTGCAAACGATCGCGATTTTTCGATCATAGCTGATCCAGATTGAAAATCTTTAATCGCTTCGCGCATCACCACCTCCGTCTGGATTTCATCTCCATTCTTAGTACGCTTCGTACTATTTCTAGACGTGACCAGAGAGTCATCCCCGTAACCTTTCTCTTTTTCCATTCGAGCACCTCCAAACAAAACTCAGTTAGCAAAACCCTAGCAGACAACAAAAATATCGCGCGTGTGAAAGTACGCGCCTAACCCATTGCATCTGAGTATATAGTGTTTTTAATAAATGAGTATGTAGTACTAAAAATGTGCTCGTTCAAGAGGTACGAGGCAACTAAGAACCATATGGTCTTTGCCCAAATATGAAGAAAAAAAAATTCAGTCCACTCCTTTCTTTCATTTATATTTCCATTTATATCCTTAAAAAATTTCTACAATTAATAAAAAGAGAACCCAAAGAAAGTGTTCCGATCCCCCAAAAATCCTCTCGAGGCAACTTGCCTTAACGTGCGTGGACGACAACACTAAATTTGTTTTCATGAGTAATCATAATTGGATGCAAAGGACGTCTTCTGAATAGAGCCGGCAAAACGGACTCGGCTCGGCGGGCCAACCCGTCCAACCCGTCAAACGGGACGAGGTGGGCTAAATTTTTCAACCCATCTCAAAAGCAGGGCGGGGCGGGACAGGCTCATTTTTTGGCGGGTTGATGGCGGGCATTGGCGGGCCGAGGCGGGTCAGTGTAAAATAAACTCGGGTTGGCGGGCCAACCCGCCCAACCCGCCAAACGGGACGGGGCGGGCTGAGTTTTCCAGCCCATTTTCAAAAGCGGAGCGGGGTGGGCTGACTCATTTTTTGGCGGGTTGATGGCGAGGTGGGGCGGGGCGGGACGGGCCGCCCACTTTGCCACCTCTACTTGTGACAATGATTGTAGTATTTTCGACAAAAGTGGAAGAACATTGCTAAAATTATGATGCCTTGGTTTATTGTTCTCCTTTGAGCCTACATAGCATGTAGTTATTAGTTTGATATTCTTAACAATGGAGATGGTGTGTAGCCCCTATCGTAGAATGAGCTTAAGGATTCATGAAGCTAAAGATATATTATTTTATAGACTCATTCATTATAAAGTTCGTTCAAGTGTGGATTGAAGATGATCTTAGTTAATGGCAGACCAAAAACAAAAATTAAATGATGATTGCAGACCGGATGGTTGATGATTGCTTACCGAAACCAAAATTAGGTGAGGTAGGTTCTCTATTATCAATAGTGAACAACATAAGTATACTAAGTTAGTAAAAATGTTAATGGTGTGACCTTATGTCGTGTGTCGTCCACTTATATTGTTCACTATTGATAATAGAAATGAATCCTCTCATATGTTATTTGACATGATCATGTCATGTAAGAGGATCTTAATTATTAATAATCAAATCAATGGTAATAATTTTGTAACTTTTTATTCCTTTTTTTTTCTCTTCCTTTATCACCATTGATCTATCCTTATATGGTTGGAATTTTCCCACTGATTATATTAATTAACACATAGAGGATCCTCTCATCTTAATGATACTTTCATTTGTCTCATCCCACAAGTGAAAAATCAAAATATTCCAATAAATTTAAGCTTATTTTATGATGTAATGTGATTTTTGAGTTTTTTTACAAAGACTATAACAAACAAATTGAAAATGATTTTGCATCAAACTAATTGCTCTTGATGTCTTCCACCACGTGAGAAAGAAAATGCACTTTGAACATGAGAACAAAGTTGGGAAAGGAAGCACACTCCCAATTTGAACCCTCTTGAAGCCTAACTTTGACAAAGGATTAGGTGAGGATGGGAGAACTAAAACCAAGATTACCATGAGATTTAGATGTAAAAAGAACTGCAATTGCGTGAGGCCTTTTTATCCGATCATAGCCTTCAATTAGTCGAAACATGTGCTAATAAAATGACAAAGTGACGAAAGTTGGGTTTCTGACTAGCCCATGATATATGCTATTATCTATACATCATCTTGGAAGGAGATTGTATTCGGTTATTGACCACTTGCATAATAATAATAATAATCAAAAAATGCACGTGAAACATTTTCTTTTCACTCGTTGATAAAAGATTGTGCTCTTCTTTCACCTTCTTCAAATCCTTTTCTGTTCAACGTGGTTATGATTTAGCAACACTTTCAATGAGATGGTTGTTTGTTATGATTTAGCAACATTTTAAAGTTGGATCACCTTTAGGTGAAGAGATTAAGTTGTTAGGACATTATACGAGGCAAAAAATATTAAAATATTACTTTTTTAATAAATAATTACGAATAAATTGTTGTTTCGAACTTATTTACGAATCTATTGCACTCATTCATGTCTAAATTAGGCATGACCATTCACACCTAAAGTAGGCGTGACTTTCAAGACATTCACGCATAATTTAAACATGACTTGTCTTCTATTAAAATTATTGTATGGTACGGAGGGATGTTAACCAATATATCCTAAATTCTAATCCTCATTATATGTTGTGTGGTATAAAATGTCCATAAAATCCTTTTGCACGTTTTGAATTACCTAAAACACTAAGAAGGCTAACGTAGAAATGAAAGCCACCTAAGTGTAAACATTCAATGCTTCAACCATTAGATTATTATTCCCCACAATTATATTAAAAAACTCAAGGCAGACCAGAGGTGCCAATTAAGGAAAAGTTAAAAACCAAATAAAAAAAAACTGCTTCATAGCTCAGCCAGATAACCATTATCAATATTATAACCATCCATATTGAAACTGCAGCTTATTAATTAGAAGAAGATGGCACCCAGCGGCACCAATCAGCCTCACACACAGTAGATCGACTTGTAGTTGCAGCGCCAACAACAAGACAATCTAGGGTTTTCAGAATGGGAGAAAAAGAACTTTGGGTTCTTTTTGTTTTATGAAACAAACGAAAGTCAGATGGATTTTATCATTTGGGAATTTTTTAGCTCAATCGCAAATATGGTGGGATCGTACGATCCCACCAATCCAACGTTCTTGCGCGGCGATTTCATTGAGGGGAAGAATAAAATGATCTTACTTTTGATTCACAGCAAAGAAAAAACCGTAAACCGATTGAACGATTTAAGACGCGATCTTAATAACATACACCATGACTCACACCTAAATTAGGCTAGGCGTGAATGCTTTGAGAGTCAAGGCGTGAATGCTTTGAAAGTCACGTTTAATTATTTCTCTTTTTATTTATTACCATTATAATAACATAATGAAATCAATAAAAATTTAAGGGACAAATAAAAATACTGTCATTATTCTAAAAATAATAATAAAAATGTATACACGACACTCGTTTTTAATTTGTTTCATAAATATTATTGTGTTATATTACCAACAGATTGTTTGTAATGAATAATAATAATTAAATTGAATATATATATATATATATATATATATATATGAGTAAAACTAATCTTATGTTGCATAAAATAATGTACCTCGTGTTATGAAACAAAATCAAGGTGGGATCCATCTTTATTTTTTTTTCTTTTTTACTTTTTAATGGGTCTCACCTTGATTATGTTTCACAACATGAGGTAAACTATCTTATGCAACATAAGATTAGTTTTACCCTGAGTTTTATTATTCTCATTTTACATAAGATAGTTATCTTATGTTGTAGAGAGAAAATAGATGAATCCTACCATTACAAGAAAAAAGAAAAGAAAAAAGGTGATGTGCGAAAATTGAAGTGAGAGAGAATGAGAGAAGTAGAAGAATAATATTTCTCATATATAAATGTTAAATCATTTTTCTTATACACAAGCAAATTAAAAATAAACGTGGATGGAAGAAAATATATGTTAATTCTTTTTTTTTTTCATTGTTTTTCAAATTAATCAAATAATATTTATCTCAAGCTAGTGTTCCCTTTCTGCCCTAATGCCATTGTTGAGTTAGTGTTGTAGATCCCTCAATCGCATTGTTCTCCCTCTCAAATCAGCGTCTCAAATTCAAACAACAGCAAAGCAATAAACTCTCTGATCCAAAACCTAAAAAATCATCTTCTGGGGTCTTGTTCTGTACGTGACCATGAAATCTCGATACGCTATGGTGTGTTCTTCGAATCAGAATCGAAGCATGGAAGCTCACTTCCTTCTCAAGAGGCAGGGTTTCGACGTGTCTTCTTACGGTACAGGTGCCCACGTTAAGCTCCCTGGTCCTTCCCTCAGAGAACCCAATGTCTACGACTTCGGAACTCCATACAAGCACATGCTCGAAGACCTTCGCAGAAAAGACCCTGAACTGTATCCATTTCTTCCACCCCTTTTGCTCTTTTTACCCAAAAATCCAAACCACTACTTGTGGGGTTGCTTCAAATGAAAAAAAGTTTTAATTTTTCACTTTTACAAGTTGTGGGGTGTGTTGGATGGCGTTATATTAGGCAATCTTGTTTCAATTTTGTTGATAATTTCTTATTTGTTTATATGGGTATCAAGTAAATAGATGCCAAAAAAAAAGATTTTTTTTGTTTTTAAAATTTTTGTGGTATATCTCTTTGCTTTAGCTGTTCTGGGTTTGTTACACTGGCTAGGGATAATTTTGATGGAATGAAGAACTTTTCCTTAGCATGAGAACAAGAAGTGGTGTGAATTTTGTATATGGATTGAAGGGGGAGGGGTTAGCAAACTCTAAATAGGAAATAGGATAGTTGTTACTTGTTATGATGTTATAGTATAGTGTTTTGTATGAGTGAATGGAGTAAGATAACGAGTTGATGAATACTGTAGTGTATGCTATTATGTATCTGTTATTGGACTTGTATGTTGGGTAATGTGTTTTCTTCGCACTTGAATTCTTGTTCCTCTTGTTGTATATTGTGTGGTGCATGGAACCTTAACAAGAGTGCAGTTACAAGCGAAATGGAATCTTGCCGATGCTTAAAAGAAATTCAACGGTCAAATTGGCACCTCAACGATGGCAAGAGAATGCTGCTGATGGCTCCTTTGATGTGGTATTTACATTTGAAGAAAAAGTATTCGATATGGTTGTTGAAGGTTGATGATCTTCCTGATTTGTTTGATTCTTTTTGCTCTCTCTGATTGTTCTGACTTCTGATGTAACTAAATATAAAATTGGGTTGTAGGATATTTGAATTTGAGTAACTTTTTTTGACAGATTTTCACTTTGCTAGCAATTACAAACTTTCTTCTTCAGCTTGGCATTATATTGTAAATAGGACTTGCTTAGTAGCATGCTTGGGTTTTAAGCTGGGATGACTGTTGGTGGTGTGAAAAGGAAGTTTGGAAGAGATGTTTATTAGGCATGATTTTGGAATGGATTTCAAACTAATTAAGAGAACAAGAAAGACAGGTGTTTAGATCCCCAAATTTGCAAGATGGTTGCAAATATAATTTCTGTTTCTCTCACCTAGCTCTTATTAACAGTAGTGTTGCAAATGGAGTAAAGGGTTACTAATTTTATGTGTTTCACATAAGATTAGTGGCAAGATTATATAGGTTTCCCAAAAATGAGAGTTGTGCACTGCACAGTTGATTACTTGATGTTTAATAGCTTTTGGTTGAAACTATTGTTTTTTTGAAATTCGTGATGCTGTGAAGTCATTTTCAAAGTCCTTGTATGGATATTGTTGTGGCAATCTATCTAGTCATATTCCATATGGAAACTTTAGTATATACATATGTGGAATGAAGACCATGTTGAGTCCAATGGCTTTATATCTATATTTGACAGCTGTCTGACTTCAACAATGTGCAGATCTTCATAATAGAGATCATGTTCTAATGAAAACTGTGCTGATAATCAACTTGGAGGTGAAAGATAACCATGAGGAAGCAGCTGTAGGAGCAAGGCTTACTTTAGATCTATGTCAGGAGGTTTGTCTTTCATGCAACACACATTTTCCTTGTATTCATAGTATAACCCACTCCCCATTAAATCCCAACTTGCAAAGGTAGTTGTGAGGACAATCCTTGTACACAATCTTGGGTCTGTTTGATTGTGTTCTAGTTTTTTTGTTCTTAAAATTGTTTTATAGAATAATTATGAAAACAAGTGTTTTCTGTGTTTTGAAAGTTAAAAATCAAAAACAAAACAAAAACAACTTAGACATGTTCTTTAAATTTGATTTCAAAATCAAAAAACAGTTACATTTTTTAAAACTTTCTTTACAAAATAGGCTTTATCAAACAGGTTTTTTTGTTTTTTGTTCTGAAAACCTAAAAAGTGTATAAAAACAGAATTCAAACAAGGCTCTTATCTTTGCACATTTGCAAAGAGGTTATTTCTCGGATTCGAATATATCCCAAGATTCTTTACATGGTATTTGAGCTTCAATGACTATAAGGTCACAAGTTCAATTCTCACCGTCCCTCACTTTAAAGTGGAATTAAAATAAAAAGCACAAAAAGGTAAACTAAAAATTGGGCCTGTGCAATATCCATGCTTCTAGCCCAAAGGGCTCTTGCGTAAAGGGGCGTGTTGAGATACATAGTCCCACATTGATTGTATGGGCAACTAATTTGGAGTTTATAAGGCTTTGGGCACTCCCACCCTTTGAGCTAGCTTTTGAGGTGGTGTATCCCATGGTTCTTTACAAAATACGTAACCTTTCAGTTTCAAAGTAACAGCTTTATCAATGCTCTAGGGTGGCCCTCTTTTTATATCTTACTAATTAAAGGGTGTGGGTGACCAACATAACGGCATTGCAAAATTTTATATGTTGTGATTTGGAGATGACTCCTTTTTTAATATTTTCATGTTTCATATCTAATTATGGATATAATTTATGCGTAGATTGAAGCTGCTGAGTCATGGGAGGAGTCCATTGATGACATTGTTACTGGATTTGAGAAACAGCAGCGGCGGAAGCTTTTGTACAGCATCTCCTTCTACTAAAAATCATAGTATAGTGGTTACTATCGAACAATTCACAATTTGAATAGCATGATTCGATATTATTTTGTTAAGCTGCTATTCGTTTAATATGATGAGTCTCTTTTAAAAGATAGTGTTCTCAAAACATATTAGCTTATAGGTTCACGGTTCAATTGTTTTATATATGGTGCTATTTTTTATTTTTTAGTTTAAAATTGAACATGATCTGATTAATTTAATTTAAACTATATTATTTTTTCTTATAATTTTTAATGTGTAAATCTATTAAAATATCAAAATTCAACTTTACTAAAAGGGTTTATATTTCTTATGCAACAAAAGAAGAGTTTTTTAATATTACACTGATATCATTTTGCGTGCAAATATTTTTAATTTACTTTTTTCTGGTGGCATGATACAATAAAGTTCAATTGCTTTTGCATATGTTCACGAGTTTGGGTGTCATATGATTAATAATGTTTAAATTAATTGTCAAATTTATAATAAGTATCCCATATTCAATAAAAAGATTTAAGTATGATTGGAAGTATAAAAAAAAAATCGATAATAAATGAGTCATACATAAATTTTGGATAAAACACTATTTGAAATATATATAACAAAATTCAATTTAGTAAGAATTTAATTAATTTTCAATTTAGTTTAAAACTTCAATTTGATTTAATTAAATTTTTATTTTGAAATAACTTTTAATTTATTCAATTTTTTGGTTTTAAACTTTAAATATTTAATTTCAATCAATTCACTTCTATTTTAAATACCCTAATTTTTTGGAAAGTTGATGCGCGTGGCAATAAAATATTGCTCGCATTTGTAATACAATTTGACAAATTGACAAGCAAATGAGAGGTAACTTGTATTAAACTCAAGCTCATTCTATTGCTGAGTGCAATGGCCAATGAGTCAACAACGAATAGGGCTCTTTGGTTAATATTTATCTTGATTTAAAAAGAAGAAGACTAAAGCCCAAATTTACAAGTCCCTCTACATTTGTCTTGCTTTTAAAACACCTCTCATTTCAACAAACCCATATCGCACCAAGGAAATAAAATTTCATTATTTGACTCAACGAAATACACATAATCTTAAGCTTAAATATTAATTTAATCACAAATTAATTATATTTATTATAATTTAATTATTATGGATTAAACAGTTCACACTTCACATGATAACACTTTATTGAGACATAGCACGTGACGTCTAACTTCTGTCCAAAAAAAAATTATAACAAATGTTTTATTTTTTTAATAAAAAAGAGTGGTGCTATGTGAAACTAATAATGTCCCTTTACATGGATCGGTAAATATACTTTTTTTATGTGATAAATATTGTTTTTTTGGAGAGATTATATTTATATCTTTTTTTCTCTTACAAGCATATTTATATTGTTTAATCAAAATCAAATTAATAGTTATAAAATAACATCGTGTAAGAGCTGTTGATTTGGGTTTAGTCAAACAATAATAAAAATGATTATTGATATAAAAAATGATTATAAAAAAAAATAAGTTATAAATATAATATTCTTCGTGTTTTTATCCTACTCAAAGAAAAAAGCTAACGACATAGTAGTTGCCCAAAAAAAAAAAAAAAAAAAAAAAGCTAACGCATAGAAAATTGCAAAAGGATGACCTTCATCTAAGGTCATTGACAAATGACAAGTCCAAGAGACCACTAGAATGGAATGAAAATGAATGAAGTTATATAGCTACCGCATGAGGAAATTCAAATGCACGCGTGAGACTGAAACATTGTGATAAGGCTCTAGAATGTAGTACCTACATCTTTAAGTGTAAAACCTCACGAGAATAATGAATTATCATACAAGAATATCAACAACATTTTCTACTTTTTTTCCTTTTATAAAGTAACCCGCATCCTTGCTTGTCAATCACTCTAAAGTAATTTGACTCGACAAAAAAAACTTGGCCAAATCATATGTTTTTATAATTCATCTTTACCTATTAGTCCAAATCAAGCCAAAGCCAATTATTTGACATAAAGAATATTTTAAATTTTTTTTATATTATTCATTAATCTATGGATTATTCAATTAATCCGATTCGAGTTGGGTATGATTACATGTGTAGTAAAACTTTCCTACTAAAATTTAACACAGTTGTATTCTTAGGAACTCGAACTCAAAACTACTGATTAAGCTGAAACAAACCCTTACAAATTTATCTACGTGATAAAGAATATTCATTTTCAAACTTGCTCTTCGAATCAAAACTCACATATATACATTTAAAAAAAGAAAAAGTTCAAAAACTTCCTTATGATTTTTCTTGAAATCATTTACCTTCCTATATATGATTTTTTTCCATCCAATCCACCTTCTAACACTACTGTTAAAAATTAAGTTATGTTGTCCATTTTACCACCAATAAAAAGAATTACTACGAGATTGCTGAAATTCCTAGTGTTTTTATAATAATTATTCCATCAACTATGTTATATTGAGCACTTCAAAGTTGAGCGTGAAGGCTGAAGCTGAACAACGTTCATACTTTTGAGTCATAATTTGTGCTTTCAACACATGTATTATGTTGAGCTTTACTTTTGTTTATAGAAACATTGACAAAAGGAGTGGGGAAGATAGATAGTAGTAGATGAATCCTTACGAAATTAAAGATGTTTTTTCGTTTTCCTTCACTCCCATTTCCAATCCTCTCTTTTTTATGACATGTTTTTATGAAAGTAAAATAAGAGTTTTGCATTTTTCATGTTGAATCACAAATGTAAAGTTTTTTACACATACATTGATATTTATGCTGTACTTTTTTTCCTCTTCTTTTTATTTTAAATATGGTGGATCCCACACTTATTGTCTCTATAACGTATAAATCTTAGGTGCATCTGTTGCACTTAGATTCAGTGCATCCCACCAATAGAAGTATTACACATCAGATGAGAGAGAATTTTGACTGACATGTAATATTTCCATTGATGGGATATACTGAATCTTTGATGCAACAGTAGCACCAAAAATTTATTCCTACAACATGACAAGAGAATTTTCCTACAACATGATACTTGTTTTTCCCATAAAATAAAATAATGCAGTAATTTAACATCTTAAAGCATTTGCTTCCTTCCCAAACTGCATTCTCCCATTTAATTTGCTTTTGTTGATTGGATCTGCAACCACTGATTCAGCAACTTGCTTATAATCTAGATGCTAAGTGGTGCAGTAGCTCAACCTAGCAGTGTTTCTGATTTATCGCAAAACACAATTGCTCATGATATATGGACCAACAACGTGCTGCGTATCATTTCATAATATTGAAGCAAACACCTTGCAAAAGAGGAAGAATAAGAAAAATCACCTGAATACGTACATAACTCAAAGGAAAATACTTGCATACACAATGAGAATTGAGCCATACACAAACATACAAACAATGCACGTAAGTCTATCTCACTCACAAATAGATTTTGATACAGAATATTACCAATTCATATTTTGTATCAAAAGAAGCAGCAGTTATCTCAAACGAACAGAATATAGGTGTTGAAGGCACAAATCATGATTTAAAATATGAATGTTGTTACTTGTTACGTTTCAGCCTTCAACCTCAACTTTGATATGCTCAATATAACGTAGCTTGCTAAATAATTCTTACAAAAACACCATAGTGATTTTTGTGTACAGGGACAAAATGGACTGGATAGAAAAAATCATTGGAAGAGTAAATGATAAAAAAAAAAAAACTATATAGAAGTAAATAATTTCAAAAGAAACAATAAGGGGGATTTTTCAACTTTTCCATTTAAAACGCAAGGGTATGTTTGATTGTGTTTTGATTTTTGGTTTTATTTTTTTTATTTTGAAAGTTAAAAGTTAAATATAAAATAAAAACAAATCAGACATAAGGTTGGTTTAAAATTAGTTTTCAAAAAACAGTTTTTGATTTTTAGAAAAAAAATTCATTTAATAAGGCCTGTTTTGTAAATTTTTTTTTAAAAACTCTAGCTAATTTTTTATTTTTAGAATTAAATTTAGAGAACATATCTAAGTTATTTTTATTTTTAACTTTCAAAATAAAAAAAAACATAAAAAATAATTATTTTTATAACTATTCTACAAAGTAGTTTTAAAAAAAAAAATCAGAATACAATGAAAGAGGCCCATATTCTCTAAGTTTGATTTAAAAAAAAAATAGTTATAATTTTTAACTTTTTTTTACAAAACAATCTTTATCAAACATAATTTTTTATTTTTTTTGTGAAAACTAAAAAAGCTATTTTTAAAAATAGTATTCAAACATGACAAAATTTCTGGTTGCGCGAAATTTACAATGAACCTTGTGTATATTCACATTGGACAATGCAAATATGCGATCACGATGACGCCAATATAACGGAATTGGCCACCGTCACTGAAGTTGAAGAGTCAGATTTTGCCGTTAAATGGCTCCGTTTACTTTCTGCCAACTGCAGCAGCTGACAACTCAACACTGAGACTCGTTCCGTTTTCTCTCTCTCTTTCTCTCTGATCAAAAGATGATGAAGCCTTTTAATTGATTCACTAAAACTTTCTCATACTTTCTTTCCATTTCATTCCGGCTTTCCCGCACTTTCTCGCCACCCAAACACTGCCAAGTAACCCTCAAATGGCTTCGGAATCCGCCGAAGAGGATAAAAGCTGGGAGGATGTACTCCGCCGGATGCTTCCTGCCGGCGCGCCGTTACCGGACGAGGAGCACCTCGACTACTCCATCGCCATCGAGTACGAAGGTCCTCCGGTTCCCTACGACGTTCCTAGGGTCGATCCGCTGGAAATCGGCGCCGCCGCCGCTGCAGTAGCATCTCCGATTCGCACAGCTTCCTTCGCCTCCGATCACGCCGCGTCGTCGGTTCCGGTCGTCATGCCGGTTCACGCCCGTTTCTCCCGGTTCAGCCGAGTACGGAACGGCGGTTTCAGCAGGGAAATGCGGAGTCCGGTCGAGAGTCAAAGGTCGTCTTCGGTTTCAAGGACTCAGTCTCAATTCGATTCGCGCAGCGGCGAGGTTGATCGGTCCGATTTTTCCGGCGATGTTGTCGCTGACGACGGCGGCAGCTGCGAATCTCCGAATTCGGCTCCGGCGGCTCCCCGAAACGGCGAAGTTCAAGGTAAGCGCCCAATTACTGTGACTTTCCATACTCCGAAGTATTCGGAGGATGATGATGACTACAACGACGGTTATCTTTCCCCTCGTTCCGCTGCCACGGAGCCGGTGGGATCGACGGTTGGGGCCACGTCGTCACGGAACTCGGAAAAGAATCGATGGGTTTGCAGCAGGTGTGGGAATGGGAACAGGTTGAAGGAGAAAGAGGCGTGTTTGGTGTGTGATTCAAGGTATTGCAATAACTGTGTGCTGAAGGCGATGGGGTCCATGCCGGAGGGAAGAAAATGCGTGAGCTGCATTGGGCAACCCATTGATGAGTCCAAGAGGTCAAGCTTGGGGAAGTGTTCAAGGATGTTGTCTAGAGTGTGTAGTCCCTTGGAGATTAATCAGATCATGAAGGCCGAAAAGGAGTGCGGTGCCAATCAGCTCCGGCCGGAGCAGCTCATTGTCAATGGCAGGCAGTTAAGGCAAGAAGAATTGGCTGAGATTCTGGGTTGTCCCAACCCTCCTCAGAAGTTGAAGCCGGGGAGCTATTGGTATGATAAGGATTCTGGACTTTGGGGCAAGGTGAAAATTGAAAGAATTTTAGTGTTTGAAGATGCAATGGTTCTTCTTCGTTGCATGTAGCAACTACTATTGTTACGTTGTTTTACTGTTTTACTTATTTTGGATGTGGTGGATTTCAGGAGGGAGAGAAGCCTCTTAACATAATAAGCTCAAAGCTAAATATTGGAGGCAAACTTCAAACGGAAGCAAGCAATGGGAATACTAGAGTTTACATGAATGGTCGTGAAATAACAAAGATCGAGCTTAGAATGTTAAAGGTAATCATGTTTCTGCTTGCAATGGCTTGGATTCAGTTCATAACATAGTAGTAAATCTTAGACATTAATAAATGTACTAGAAGGCTATGTACGATTTATTTACTTTCCTTGTATGATTGTTTTCTTTGCTCGGGCTTTAACAAAGGTTCTCTGTAAAGTACCATGTGGGAACCCTAGTGACTGAATATTCATTGTAGATTTTTTCAAGTTTTATAGGCAATTAGTTGTCTGATAAAAACTCAAAGGAATATAGGCTCATGTCCTCTTATGGTAATGTTATGTCCATTACTGTTTATAAACATTTAAGTTTTGGACGTTGCTTTTTAGTATCAAATTCTTACCAAACACTGTCAATATTTAAGAAAAGGGCATTAAACAAGCTACTACATTGGCAGGGTAAAATATTGTCAACGTAAAAGAACATGTATATAAAACCCTGGACAAGCATTAAATTCTTTTTCTTAACAGTTCCCTTTAAAATTCAGAGATACATATTTCAAAGATTTAAGCTACCTGATCATCAGTGGTAATAGGAAGTCTAGAACAAAGCACAACAAGGTGAATACATTTTTTTTAATGCAATCTTGAGCTTCTACTTGTTAACAGTCAAGCTTCTACTTGTCTTTCTCATTCCTGTAGATTTGACATTGATCTAATCCAATAATATAAGATTAAACTCTGAGGTTTCAAGGTTTTTATATCTATCCACTGTAGTGGAAGTCTGCAAATTGCATTTTGTTTATCTGTTTATCTGTTTGTATTTTGTTTCTTTTATCATCACTGATTGATTTGTAATTTTGTATGGTTATTATTTCAGCTAGCAAATGTTCAATGTCCGCGAGATACCCATTTCTGGGTTTATGATGATGGATCTTACGAGGAAGAAGGCCAAAATAATATTAAGGGGAATATATGGGGAAAGGTTCTCTCTTATCTAATAATAATATAATATCTTCTGTTTAATTTGAGTTTGAAAGCAAATGTCTTGATTTGGTTTTTTATTCAATATTGGTTTGGTTTATGGTAGGCAGGCGTCCACTCGTTTCATTTGTTCATTATTCTCATTGCCTGTACCACCTACTAATACTCCTGGGGTCAACGATAATCCAACTAATTATTCAACAAGGTCTGTGCCTGAGTATTTGGAGCATGGTAGGGTTCAGAAACTATTGTTGTTTGGCATGGAAGGATCTGGAACAGCCTCACTATTTAAACAGGCATGCCTATCTGTTCCTTTCTCTTTCACTTCTTCCCTATCTTTCCCCCTCTCTGCCTCATATTGCATGTATTCATGCCTTTCTGTGTCTATTAACTTAACGTGGCTGGTTTGGGATCAATATCTTTGGCTTTCCTTTTTTGCCGGAAAAAGGGTTTTAGTGGAGAGTCATATTATATGTGCGTGGTTCTTAGAGCAATGCATGCTGGTGGACTGCTAGTTATAATAGTTCATAACAATACAACAGACTGTTTTCTTAGAATTTTATTGCATCATGCTCATAATAAATTTACACACATGACACACCTACTCGCAAATATATGTTGAATAGCTATGTAATTACTTCTGTATGAATGATATGTATGCATGCATGTATATACCTATACTTCTGTGCATAAATGTTTTGCCTCATCAATAAAATGTGCCAATGCATGCTTGAATATGTATTTTTACATATATGGATACATATTTAGGTGTATATGTAAATTAGTTAGAAATTTTATTTTATTGTGATAATTTCAATGTGCATGTGCATGTGCTTTTAACTTCTGTATAATTGTTAGTACTTAGTGCTTTGCCTATTATGGATGGTTGTTTCAGTGTACACGTTGACATTGCAGGAAGTTTTCTTGAAAACTGCATCATTGTAGTTTACATAGTAGTTATGATACATTTGCTTTTTCACATCTTGCAAGGGTTTTTTTATCTATTTACTCGGTATTTATGCTATGATACCAATTGTTTTCATGGTTCTTATTTTACCATTTTTATGCTTTCCTTATGAGAATATTCTCTTTCCTTATCCTTGGAACAGGCCAAGTTTTTGTATGGAAACAAGTTTTCTACAGAAGAGGTGCAAAACATCAAGCTTATGATTCAAAGCAATATGTACAAGTATCTCAGCATTCTGCTTGAAGGGCGAGAGCAGTTTGAAGAGGAATCTCTGGCAGAGAAAGAATCTACTTCGTTAGAAGGTGAAGGATCTGGACCAGGTATAATTTTACTTTATTTTCCTTTCTTCCCTCTCTGTGATGGTATTTTTTCTGTTTAAGTTGACGTGTCACTGGCTCACTGTTATTTTGTGGTATTTGTTATTATTCTCAAGTCACTAAATATTGGTGTTTTATAAGAGGCTATGATAGAAATGAAAAAGTTCTAAAACTGTTTACATTTGTTCTGTATATTTCTTGAAGTTATAATTTATGGTAGATGTTTTAAATTAAACCTTTAGGGGGTGTTTGGTTGAGGAGAAATTTTTTGAATACTAGGGAAATGTAATTACTAGGGAAATGGTTGGAAAATGAGTTTGGTAGGAAAATGTAAAAAAAGTTGTTTGGTTGACCGAAATATTACCAGGGAAATTTATTTAAATTTGCAAAATCTATGTTCGGGAGAAACTTCGCACCTGTTTTTTCACTTCCCCAGTTATCTCAAAATACCACATCTTAAGTGGTATTCTGTAACAGTGAATTTCATCCAAAAATCAACACAAAAGTCATTTCCCCATCTATCTCATTTGCCTAGTATTTTTTTGAAAAAACCTGAACCAAACGTGGTATTCTTCAATATCCACTTACACTTTCCCATCAATCCCAAAATAATCCTTCAACCAAACACTACCTTAGTACATGTTCTGAGAGAATAGGCACAGTATACATTTTTTAAAAGTGACACTTAATGCTTTATAATTCTATAGTAGCTGTAGGTTATGCATTTGATCGATATATTTCTTACTCTCACTGCTCTCGATTTTTTTGTCAATCTTTCTTCATGGTTTGTCTCAAATTATCGTCCAATTGAACCCAAATTGGTTATACTGGAGGAGGGAGGGGGAGAGGGAAGAGATAAGTGTTTTATGTGGCCCGTAAAGGTTTTTATTTTATTTTTGGATAATAAACTTTAATTGTTTAGTGGTACTCTAAATGGTTTCTGTAAATTTTGTCTAATATGCAATAAATTTACTATTTGTTATACAGATGTTATACTTCATCAAATTTAACTTCAGTTGAATCATTCTGCATTTTGTCTGACAATATTTAACATGTATTATAATTTATAATGAAGATAATCTAAACTGATAAAAGCAATAACCACTAAGGTTTATCTAACTAGGTGGGTTGAATACATGGATCAATTGACACCATTGGGCTCTATCAAGAACCAAATTTTCAATAAAACCATTTAAAGTAAGGTCCTTTTTAATGATTACTTGTTGTCTTGGTAAGAGTTCTCTTTACTTGTCCATTATTTGGTACTAGGCAATTCAACGCTGTTATAACTGGTATGTTGTTCCTTTTAAGCAACAATGTTTCCAGTAAGCAATTCTCGAGACCACTTCATTTTTTCACTTGTACACTTCAATTTTTTCCCTTGTGGATTCTGTGGATGGTTCAATTTGTTAATAATCTTTTTCTCAATGTCTTCGCTGTGCAATAAATTTAGCAGAAACAACAGCTGATGAAAGCAAGCCTACCATTTATTCAATCAATCAAAGATTCAAGCATTTTTCTGACTGGTTGCTGGATATTATGGCTACGGGAGATTTGGAGGCTTTCTTCCCTGCTGCTACACGTGAGTATGCTCCTATGGTAGATGAGATCTGGAGAGATCCTGCTGTTCAGGAAACATATAAGAGAAGAGAGGAATTGCATAATCTTCCCGATGTTGCTAAATATTTCTTAGATCGGGTATGTCTCTACTAATTCCATTTTTACTATTTTGTCTTCTTGGAAAGTATTAAGTGGTGTTGTTTTGTATATTTCTCTGCATTGGAGGATACTAGCTGTTAATCATTATTATATTATACTAAATATTTGTCCATTAAAAACATTTTGTTTTTGCCTTTTTCATTCTGGAGTTAATTCAATGCAGCTGGCCTTAGTGCTTTCCCGAACCATTATTTCACCTTATCCTTTCTTAAATTTGTTACATTGGTAATGGCTATTATGATGAGCATAAAAAGAAAGTGAAACATAGAAAGTGGGAAAGGGGTGTCAATTTCATTATTATTGTTTCAATATAGACATTTGCATGTTAAATATATGCAAGAGGTGCAATGTAACTTGTCTGTCTGGCTAAAAAAAGAAACCTGGATGAAAAAAGGGTATATATGCCAAAAAGAAGCTTGAATCTGTAAATGTAATTGGCTAGGAACAATTCTCTGGAAATGTCTTTTGTCTTTTTTCTTTTCCTTCAAAGTGAAGGGTTTAAAAAGTTGTCATATACCTTCAAAAATGAAAGAACTTGAAAGGGTTGATGGGTTAAATATGTTAGCTCTTTTAGAAAGAAGACAGAACTTTTTATTAACTTAACTGTTGATCGCCCGGTGGCTGCTCCTCTCTTGATCAGCTGTCCTTTGTGTTTATTTTTTGGCAGTATTCATTCAAGTCGCAGCTGATTTAAGCAATGCTATTGGGAAAGTTTTTAGCTGATATTATTATTTTTGTATATGAAGCAAGTGTTGCAGTTGGTCTTTCATGAAGCTTTAACCTAGGGTTTTAGCCCATTTAGTGTGCATTGCTACTAAATTTGTGCTAAATATTCTGACATATTATGTTTGGAAAAAAAGTATTTGTGTGCATGGCTATTTCCCTATAGCATAACCTTTTAAATTGAAGTGGTTGATTGAAACGGGATTCAATCCCAAGAACAGGAGGTTGCTGAAACACCTTACTGGCCTCATTAATAGCTATATTATTTACTGTGAGAATTATATAAAAGTTGCTCAGGGTTCATTTACACCAATGTGGATCGAAATCAATCTTACAAGTAGAAATTACTGTTTCAAGGATGAATTTTTCATAGTTTCTCATTTCATACCAATCAAAGATCGTTAATACTTGTTAAAGATATAATAAAAGTATTCACGTGCCTTCACCCAACAGATTAAGCTTTTGGGATAGTTGGTTGCATGACGTGGTATTAGAGCCTATACTAGGTGATCTATAATTCAATTCTTGCGGCCGCCATTCTTATAAAAAGGAACTTCGAATTTAAGCACAAGGTAACAAAAAAATGAACCTGTGCATTATCCACCTTTCAAAATCCAAAAGCTTAAGCTGTTAGGTGAATGTCATATTAATATTTTATATTATATTTCTCTAATACGCCTCCTTACATAAGAGCCCATTGGGCTAGAAGGGTGAACAATGCACAAGCCCTTCTTACATATGTTAAGGTACTCCACAATATTTATTTATTACGGAGGCAGTGATGATCGAATTTGTGATCCCTTGATCACAAAGGCTCTGATACCATGTAAGGAACCAATTCAATCCAAAAGCTTAAAATGTTAGATGAATGTCATATTGATGGTTTTATATTATATCTCTCTAACAAAAACCATTTATGTGTCTTCACCCAATAGCTTAAGATTTTGGGAAAGTTAGTTGTATAAGAATACTCCAATTTATGTTGAGTAAATACCCTTTTGGGTCCTTAACAAAAAACGCAGAATCCATTTTAATCCCTTGGAAAAAAATAGTCGATTTATGGTCCCCCTGAAATTTCAGTTCTTTGAAATTGTGGTCCCTCAGAAATTCAAAGAAGACTCACATTAGTCCCTCAAAAAGGACTAATATATGTATTTTTTTCTAAAGGATTAAAATGGGTTCCGTGTTTTTTGTTGAGGACCCAAAAGGGTATTTACTCTATATGTTAATATAAACCAACATCATACTTTTTGTAAAGAACCAATTCACCCAAAAGCTTAAGCTGTTGAGTGAAGACATGGTTTATATTATTCCTAACACTTTTCAAGTGTATAAACTGTTCATATATGTTTACATGGACAAGATTGAAGTTGTTTGAGAACTTTTATTGATGTAGACTTGATGGTAGTTCCTCCGTGTGCTCCAGTGGAACAAGGGGTGGTGACACTTCAACACTCAAGTCAGTAAGAGCAAGAGATGGAGTGGGTATGGTAAGAGGAATTTATGTAGAGCATGATCCATGAGGGTGACGACCCTTGTGTATATAAGAGGTGACTACCTCAAGGAGTTTTCAAGGATTTTGGGGTTTTTCCTCCAGTGAATGGGCCAAATGGATAGTGGGCCTAGGCCAAGTAATACCTACATAACAGCTTTGATGGATTGATTCTAGCGTGACAGGATCAAACTTTCCCACCTTTTCAAGATGGTCATGAATCACCGCCCTCTCATATGTAAGTCCACTTGGAGTAATGGCAAGATCAAAACAATATCTAGTGTGATTTTACGTAGATAATTTGCCACCTTAGTAGGCATGTCAATTTCTGCTGCTTTATTGAACATTCTTCTTAAAGCCTTTATTTTTTCTAAAATTTCCATGATGGCTGTATAGACGAACGCTCCCACTCTAGGTATTTTGCTTTTGCAAGCTCTGGCCATATCTCCTCTACCATATAGTCCTTGGTATGGACACCTTTACCAAGATCCTAAGCCTTGTCTAATTCTATGATTCCCTTCACATATTCTTGTGTGTAGCAATGCAAGACCTAACATATAGTGGGCCTTGATCGAATTGCTGTCAAGTTGAGTAGCTCTCGAGAGTATTCCTCTATTCCTGTCCAGTCATTGCGCCTGTGATGACACAGAATGCAATTGGTCCACTACACTGGAACACTGAGGCACAACATAATTGTCTCAGTGTAAGCATCGATGGAAGCTCCAAAACGATATTTCTTGAAGTAGGTGTTGCTGTCTTTTCTCATTGCTCCGCTTGTTTGTCAGTGACGACAAAGAACTTCACTTGGTTCCATTTTTCTTTCTTTCTCTCTTTAGAACACACTCTTATTCTCTCTCTCTCTCTCTCTCTCTATATATATATATATATATATATATATATATATATATATATATATATATATAGAGGTAGGATCCTTTGACACCGGTGTCAAATTTTAATTTTGACACCTCATCTCAGAGCCGTTAGATCAAAAAAGATCAATGGTGTCACATGCTTGTAAATCAGAGTCATTGATTTTTTTTAATCTAACGGTTCTGAGATGAGGTGTCAAAATTGAAATTTGACACCGGTGTCAAATGATCCTGCCTCATATATATATATTGTGTTATATATATATATATATATATATATATATATATATATATATATATTGTGTTTGAGAGGTTGTGGGTGGCTTAGAGAAACAGTGGCTGTTGACCATAGCTTGCAAAAGCAAAATACCAAGAGTGGGAACGTTCATCTACTCGGCATTTTTAGAACTTGAAAGAAACTTGTGAGTATGCTTTGAAGGAAAAACATTTTTCTGACATCTCCCAGATGGAAGGACTTTTGTAGAAGATGCTACTACCTAATTAGATGCTATAGGAAGAGTGTTCAATAAAGTTGCAGAAGCTCTGACATGCATATTGAGGTGCCATAAATATCTATACTGTAGAATCACATCTGATATTTTTTGTGATCCTGTCATTACTCAAAAGTGGACTTACATATAAAATAGCAGTGGTTCTTGACTATTTTGAGAAGATGGGTAAGCTTGTTCTTGTCATGCAAGAACCTCTTGATCCATCACAACTGTTCTGGAGATATTACTGGGCCTAGGCCGACTATGCATTTGGCCCATTTACTAGCCTAGAATCCTTGTGATCCCTTCAAGGCAGCCGCCTCTTATATACACAAAGGTCTTCTCCCTCATGGATCATGCCCTACAGGTATGCCTCTTACCACGACCACTCCATCTCTTGCTCTTATTGACTTGAGCGTTGGAGTACCTACAAGTATATCACCCCCCCTTTGTTCGACCAGAGCACATGGAGGAACCACCATCAGATCTACATCAATGGAAGCTCTCAAATAACTTTAATCCTATATATTTGAGCAGAGACTATTAGTCATTTGGTAAAATACTTAAATTTTTAAAATTTTCTAATTTCTCAAGTTTGCCATTTAAGATCTACATGATTTTTACTGGTAATTTAGCCATTAGATTCGTAAACTCACTTTCTATAAGGATGTATTGAATGGTAAATGTTCTTTCACCATAGTCGATTGACACTCACTCTATATAATTATATAGACAGAAAGTTGGGACTGTAATGGCTTCCATATTAATTATCAAAATTTTAAATTTTCTTAAGAAATTATTGAGAGTAAATGTTATTAGTTGATTACTTAAATTATATAAGATTTATATGAATGGGAGGATTGTCTTTCATATGGATAAGTAATTATGTACTTTTATACAACTTTAAATGAGCCACAAATCTCTTAATATATGGGTAAGTTGGTGTCTAACACATGTTTAAGAAGGGTCCTTGGTATGTCGAGTCAATGTAGTATTTGATGTTAACTTTTTTAGAATTCCTAAATCATCGGGCTGTGGATACAGAAACTGAAAACAAAATATAATGCAAACCGTTAAAATTGTGATTTGGAATGCTCATGTACTATTTCTTAACTGCCAGCATAGCATTTGAGAATGTATTTGGCATTTTGTTCAATATTTCAGTCAGTGCAATTGCAGCCGTCCAAAATTTATTATGGATGCTCATGTACTATATCTTAACTGCCAGCCTAGCATTTGATAATGTATTTGGCATTTTGTTCAATATTTCAGTCAGTGCAATTACGGTCGTCCAAAATTTATTGGATGCATGTCTGACTGGAAAAAAAAAATGGAGTGGAGGTTTCCAATACAATATCAATACGCAGCACATATCTGTTGTACTCTTGCTGCTCTGTAATATTAAAATTGCTTCCATAGGGCGTGTTTTTGTGTATGTGTTTGTGTGTGTCTAACTAATGCATGAATCCATATTTAACTCCTTAGTTTTTTAGAGCATATTTTAATAAATCTATTATTTTTAAATAATAATAATAATAATATTGCCCGGGCAAACCTACAATTGGATATCCACTATCCATCATTGTTGTGGTGTTTGCTAACTTTTATATGGATTGAAGATTGGGAACTTAATCTTCAAAAGAATATCTGAAATACTCTCCTTCCTAACTAGTGGTCTATCTAAATTTGGCTCATCTAATTTAATGAATGTTTATCTTTCTCTTTTTCTGATATAATATATGCCTATTTCGAATAGGGTTGGAGTTTACTAACTAGCTAGAAATTTGATTCGTCTTTCTTTGGTTACTTTTGATTTGTCATTTGTCTCTGGCTAATAATTTCTTCTGTTACCGTGATGTCTAATCATATGTGATCCTGCACAGGCAATCGAAATATCAAGCAATGAATATGAACCTTCCGACAAGGATATCTTATATGCTGAAGGAGTCACTCAAAGCAATGGTCTTGCCTTCATGGAATTCTCATTTGATGATAGGAGTCCCATGTCCGAGATATACAGTGAAAACTTAAATTGCCAACCTCCCTTAACCAAGTAATTCGTTCTCTTCAATCTCCTTTTCTCTTATTTTGTTGAAGCTTCTGAAAATGTTCTTAACTCAACATTGTCATTGGCTCAGATATCAACTGATTCGCATAAATTCAAAGGGACTGCATGAAGGTTGCAAATGGTTGGAAATGTTTGAAGATGTGAGGGTAGTCATATTTTGTGTTGCCCTGAGTGACTACGACCAGGTGTGGCCTACTAGTACTGGTCAGCTTCGTAACAAAATGCTGGCAAGCAAAGATCTTTTCGAGAGTCTGGTGAGGCATCCTTGTTTTAAAGATACCCCTTTCGTGCTTCTGCTAAATAAGTATGATGTCTTCGAAGACAAAATAAACAAAAATCCTTTGTCAACTTGTGAGTGGTTTGAGGACTTCTCTCCTGTGAGGCCCCATCACAATAACCATGCCCTAGCACAACAAGCATATTACTATTTGGCTGTGAGATTCAAGGAGCTTTATTATTCCATAACTGGCCAGAAGTTGTTTGTGGGGCAAACTCGAGCTCGGGAACGTGCCTCAGTTGATGAGGCATTCAAATACATAAGAGAGATCATCAAATGGGATGATGAGAAGGATGAAATATATGAAATCAATCCGGAAGAGTCATTTTACAGTACAGAAATGAGTTCTTCTCCGTACGTCAGACAGGAATGAATTCCCAACCTTTAATTTCCCTTGAGTTGAGACTAAATGATCTGATGTTGATATTAAATGATGAGCATTGCATTTGTTAAGGCTGGGCTATGTCTAGTATATCGTTTTCTTTTGTTCTTGTAGAATCTTCCTGATCAAGGTCAGAATGATTTTTTCCCCCATCATAAATAAGCTAGTTTTCTTGAGAGGTTGTAAATTTAGAGGTGATTTGTTGTTTGTACAGCTTATACTGATAATATTGTTCAGCACAAGTTGAAATAAAAATAAAAATAAAAACTAATTTTTTCCGGTTAATCTGCCATTATTATTTAAATTTAGCCATTGATCACCACTTAGTCTGTAAGATGTAAATAAACTATGAGATTAATATTTTTTATGTTGTAGTAGATAATTTTATTTTTTATATATGGGAAAAACTAATATTATGTTGTAGGAAAGTTCTTAGGTCATGTCATAGAGACAAGATATTGTGGGGTCCACTATTTTTAAAATAAAAGAAAAGTAAAAGAATTGATGGGCCTACTTTTATGTTTGTGTAGGAAGATTGCTTGTGTCATGTAAAAGGAGGAAAACATTACCCTATATATATATATATATATATATATATATATATATATATATATATATAAAGTGTGGGGTTCATTTTCTTTTTCTTTTTCCTTTCTTCATATAGTTTCACATGAATTTTACATATTTTTATGTATGTAGAAGATAAAATTATTTTTTATAAGATGAGAAATATTTGTTGGAAACTCGGTTCCCTTAAGCTCGGCTAAGCAGTCTTTGGCGGAAGTCAATCAACAAGATCCTCGATCTTGGATCTCGGCAATACCTCGGCCTGAACTTCACCAGGTCGGGAAGCGCAGCGAAAAATCAAAAACACAAACATGAGAGAGAGAGAGAGAAAAGAAAAACAGACAGATTTTAACGTGAGAAAACCTTCTCCAATGAAGAAGTAAAAATCCACGGAACCTAGTCCAGTTCAAAAATCCACTATGAAAATAATGGTTACAAAGAATCAAATTCACCAATGTGATGGTTAACTCAACCTTTCCAACAATGGTGATAATCAAACCTCCCTAGAGATGTTTGACTCAAACTCTCTAGAGATCTCTCAAACACAAAGCGAAAAACTTTGTTCTCAAATCTCTCAAGTATCACTCAAGAGTCTCTCAAATATTTTTCTTCATCTCACCTAGCCTCCACCCACAACTAATGAATATATAGAGGAGGTGAGATCTAGAGTTTAGGGTTTTTGGAAAACCCCTCTATGAGCTTGAGCTTAGCATTGAAGGAGGAAGCCCAACAAATCTCCCCCTCCGACTTCAATGCGTCGGCTTCAGCATCAACCCGGCTCCTTCTCAGCAATCTTCAAATTTTCTTGCTGGAATCGGCTTGGTCATCATGTCGGACTAATTTTGGTCAGTGTGCACTTTGACGAGTTCGAGCTCTCCCCCTTCCATCACATCCCGGATCCAGTGATACCTCACATCAATGTGTTTAGTGCAGGAGTGATAAGTCGAATTCTTCGCAAGATGGATTGCGCTTTGATTGTCAAAACCCAGTTCGTACTTGTCTTAATCATGGCCGAGTTCCACGAGGAACTTCTTCATCCACAACATCTCTTTGCTTGCCTCAGTAGCGGCAATGTACTCAGCCTCAGTTGTCGATAGTGCAACACATTTATGAAGTCTTGATTGCCAAGAGACAGCTCCTCCAGCAAATCTCATCATGTATCCCGTCTTCGATTTCCTCGAGTCGAAATCTCACCCTAAATCAGAATCCGAGTAGCCTTGCAACTCGGCTTTGCCTTCTCCAAATCGGAGGCATAAATTGGTCGTACCTCTGAGATACTTGAAGATCCACTTCACTGCTTCCTAGTGCTCTTTGCCGGGGTTTAACAGATACCTGTAACATCCCGAGCGCTGACGAGGGCGGGGAGTGATCGTCGGTGCAAAGAGGCACAGACAAAGAGCGGCTCCTGACAGGCTTCCAGCGGAGGGATACATGCATGAATGAATCGAATCGACACCCAAAAGAGAGGGATTCCAAAGGCTGTGCAGGTATAAGGCTGCACAGTTTGAGATAACTTATAAGAATTAATTGGTACTACCTATGCTAACAAGATACATCTGCTTTTCGGTAGCCCGGAACGGAAGAACTCTACAGTTAAGCGTGCTTGACTTGGAGCAATTCTGGGATGGGTGACCTACTGGGAAGTTTTTTCGGGAAGTGTGCGAGTGAGGAAAAAGCACACTGAAAAGTCCCGTGTTAGTATATGGGGATAGTCGTTGATTCTTGAAGCGGTCGGGCGTTACAAGTCAGAACTTCCTGCAGTGTACAAAATAAACTTTGTAGCCGAATACAAGCGTTTCCTCTCCCCCCCCCACATGAATAAAAGTAGATAAATGGAAATTAATTCTAATTCCCACATGATGAAAAAAAGTAAAATGTCTCGAGACGAAAAGAGTCCTATTCTTCCATCAATCTTTAGCTTCACCTTCTAGCATATACATAGAGTAGACCAACTTCAATGTATCAGGGCATCTCATCACCCTGAAGATCTTCTCCATAGCTTGGAGCCATTTTGCTGCCACCAGTGGGTCATAGCCTCCATTAAAAGAAGGAGGTTTGTGTTTTCTGAAAGCCGCAATCTCCTTTCTTCGGCTTCATGTTCATCGACATGCTCTACACGTGGTTGACGAACCTCAGTGTGATGACTATGACTACCAGAATGGTGACTGGCCTCACCATCATTGTTACCCGCTTCACCCTCTTCCTGTAGAATAGGTGGAGTAGGCGTGGCAGTGTGAGGAGGAGGAGTGAGTTGCCGGTTCTCAGGTCTAGCACCCCTCAATGCCCTCAACTCATTCATCATCGCGGCCATAGCATTCCGCGAGTCTTCATTTGTCTTCATCAAGTTTTCTCGAGAAGTGTGCGAGTGAGGAAAAAGCACACTGAAAAGTCTCGTGTTAGTATGTGGGGATAGTCATTGATTCTTGAAGCCGCCGGGCGTTACAATACCGGCTTACCATTCCAAGTTCCAACAGCATACGCCAAGTCGGGTCTAGTGCAAACCATTGCATACATCAAGCTTCCGACGACGAATTGGTACGAGACCTTCATCATCTCATCTTTGTCTTCATCAAATCTCGGACATTGCTTTTAGTTCAGTTTTATGTGTCCGGCTAGGGGGTGCTCACTGTTTTGGCTCTGTCCATGCTGAATCTCTTCAGAATCTTCTAAATATACTTCTCTTAACTCAGCCACAATAGCTTCTTTTGTCTATCTCGGATAATCTTGATTCCGAGAATCTGCTTTGCAGGGCCGAGGTCCTTTATCGCGAAGGACGAGCTCAACGCCTTTTTTAGGGCGGCTATCCTCGATTTGTCTTTCCCTACAATAAGCACGTCGTCAACATATAACAACAAAATAAAAAAATCTCCGGCCTCATACCTCTTCACAAATACGCAATGGTTGACTGCTTTCTTCTCAAACTTGTGATTAGTCAATAATGATTCAAACTTCTTGACCACTGCCGAGGTGCTTGCTTCAAGCCATAAAGGCTCTTCTTCAATCGACATACCAAGTCTTCTTGGTCTGGAGCTCGGAACCCCTCAGGTTGTTCCATATATATTTCTTCTTCTAAATCGCCGTGAAGAAATGCCGTCTTCACGTCCATTTGTTCTACCTCAAGGTCCATCGAAGCCGCCATGGCTAACACAGTTCGGACCGAGGTCATTTTCACCACAGGAGAAAAAATCTCCTCAAAGTCTACTCCTTTCTTCTGATTGCAGCCTTTCAGTACAATCCGGGCTTTGTATCTCAGCTTCTGCCCGTTCTCTTCATTCTTAATCTTGTAGACCCATTTATTTTTCAGAGCTCGTCTTCCTTTTGGCAACTTGGTCAGCTCATATGTCTGATTCTCGTGCAGAGACTTCATCTCGTCTTGCATTGCCTTTTTCCATTCTTCTTGATCTGAGCTCGTCACAGCCTCATCATAACTCTGAGGCTCACCGTCTTCAGCAACAACGGTGTATTCATCAGATGGGTATCTGGTAGAGGGTCTTCTTTCTCGAGATGGATATCTCGGCTGTTCTTCAGCTTGAGAACCCGGTTCATCATTCTCATCCCGGATCTCATCATCAACTCGGACCTCAGTGTCTTGGTCATCATCAGCTTGTTGCTGGTCATCATTTTCATCATTCTCTTGATTTTCTCCCCCTGCTTCAGCTCGAATAGGTGGGATGGGTTCTTCACGTCTGACAGTAACTCGGACTTTGGGCTTCGAGATGTCATGAATGGTCTCATCTTCATGAAATATCATATCTCGGCTTCTCACTATCTTCTTCTTGATTGGATCCCAAAGTCGGAACCCGAACTCACATCTCGGCGAACCAAGATAGATGCATTCTTTTGTCTTCGCATCGAGTTTTTCCCTTTCATCTTTAGGGATATGCACGAAAGTTCGACATCCAAACACCTTCAGTTGATTATAGGCCGCTTTCCGACCTGTCCAGACTTCTTCTGGAATTTCTCCTTCAAGTGGTCGTGATGGTGAGAGGTTGATCAAGTCAACAGCAGTTCTGACGGCTTCTCCCCAGAATGATTTCGGTAACCCGACATTGGATAACATGCTTCGTACCTTCTTTCAATTGTTCGGTTCATCCTCTCAGCCAGTCCATTCAACTGTGGAGTCTTGGGGGGCGTCTTCTCAAGTCGGATCCCAGCCGCTCTGCAGTATGCATCAAATGGGCCGCAGTACTCACCACCATTATCAGATCAGACCACCTTCAATTTCTTGTCAGTCCCCTTTCAACCATTGCATGAAATTCTTTAAATGATTGGAGTACCTGGTCTTTAGACTTCAACAAATATACCCACACTTTGCGGGAATGGTCATCAATAAATGAAACAAAATACTGAGCTCCTCCAAGAGATCTCTCCGACATGGAGCAAACATCAGTATGGACGAGGTCAAGAATATACCTGCGTCTTCTGGGTTGATCCAGTTTCATGAAAGAAACCCGGTGCTGCTTTCCAGCTGGGCAGTGCGTACAACTCTCCAGCGCTTTTCCTTGCAACCCGGTCAATAATCCCTTCTTGTTCAGAATTTGGAGCCCTTTCTCGTTCATGTGGCCGAGACGCTTGTGCCACAGCTCCAAGCTATGTCCATCTCGGACAGAATTGGCTTCTCCGCTATTAATCTTTCTTTGCATCACGTATTATGAGCCTTCCTTCTTTCCTCGGGCAACAA